GGGGACAAAGAGGGAAGGACCAAGCCAGCGACTGCGGGGTGAGGGGGACACCGAGAGCAACCCGGTGGGACTCAGGCAGAGGGGGTGCGGGAGAGCTTTCGCCGTCACCCCTTAACACACACACACACACACACACACACACACACCCCTCCCTCTCTCCGCTCCGTCCCTTACCCGAGCAACTTTCTTTTGCGCGGCCCAAAACACCCAGTCCCACCGGATCGGAAGCCACCAAATCCCAGGTCCACTCTCTCCCGGGATTCCAGCAGAAAATCGAAGCAGAGCTGGAGGCGCGGGTCTCATCTACTGCTCCCCCAGCCCCCTCCTCACTCACTCAGTCCCCACCCACCCCGTCCCGCCGCTTTCCCAGCCAACGCTCCGCCCGATTTTGGCGCCCAGAAAGCAGGCGGAGAGAGCTGGGGGTGCGCTGCGGCTGCCAGGGTCGAAGAGCACCCAAAGGACCGCAGGCGGAGGACAGGGGGTTCAGAGCCCACCTTGCTGGCCAGCTCTTTGCTCCGGTCAATCCGCGCCCGCGTGAGGGATTCGATCCGAGACATAATCCGATGAGGGGAAGCCTGGGAGGACGAGGCGGGGACCCAAGCGTCTGGCTATTGTGGGGGGGAGGGGGGGTCCGCCCCGCACGCGTTGGTCTCAGGGACAGGAAGTCTGACTCCCCTCGCCCGGCACCCAGCGCCAGTTCCTCAAACCCGAGTCTCCACCCCCGCCCGAGCTCAGGAAGGGGGGAGGCGGGGCGGAGGGAGGGCGGGGTGCCGGCGCGCCGGACGGGACGCTTTGGTCGCTGGAAGGGCGGCTTGCACAAATACTGGGGGCCGTGGACAGGTTTGCGGGGCCCCTCTGCCAGTTTGCCCTCCAGCGCCGGGGGCCGCCCTCTAACCCCAAACACCCGCCTCCTGGCTCCGGTTTTCCTAAAATCCACCCTGGCCCAGCCCAGTACCCCTCATCCTACCCGAGGTCTCCCCTCGTCCCCCGACAGTCCTCCAGTCTTCCCTTTCCCCTCCCCACCCCCCAACTCCCGCAGTCCTCCAGTCTTGAAAGACCTGAGACTGGAGGATTCCAGCCACCCCCCAGCTCTCCAGGGAACCTAGGACCAGTTCCTTCCGGGTCTTGGGACCCAACAAAGCAGGCCAGAGCCTACAGACCCCTTTTACGGTTGAGGCCTGGGGTGGGGAGAGGGCGGGGAAATCAAAGGGGAACTAAAGGCTGCGTCTTTAGAAGGCGTGAAGATTCACCCCAGGAGGTCAAAGAAGCTGATAACCAGAGGAGGAAATTCTTGCACAAGCCCCCACCCACCTAGGGCCTTCCAAGATCGCACTCTGCCCACCTCCTCCCCTCCCACCTCCTCCAGTTACTGGGGCCGCGGGAAGGGTTAGGGGGAGGGATTCGCTACCTTTATAGAAGGCTAAGAAGCTTAGAAAGTCCTTCCTTGTGTCTAACCCCAGTTCTCTCTATTGCAAGTTAGGAGAGAATCAAAAGACCAGCAACCAGCCTGCCCTGGTTACGGGGCAGTTGGAGTATGGCCAGTCTCTCCGCTGTAAGGAGGGGTGGAGTGGGGCATTCTTTCTGGACACATTGCCCCAGCCTGAGGCAACCTCCACGTTTTTGGGAAAATTCCTCCTCCACTCTAACTATAATCAGGCATACTGCAGTTCATTTCTGCCTCTCAGGGTCTCTTTCCCATGTTGCTGGAGAAACCAGAAGCACAGAGAGTCCTGAGACAGAGCATCCTATGTTTGCAGGGTCCTGCCTGGTCTGGTCCCCAAAGGTGTGGAGGAAGGAGGGAGGGAGGGAGAAGAGGCCTAACCCAAATCCAGCAGCTCCCTGCCCGGGCTCAGCAGCAGGGCCTGGCTGCAGGTTTCAAGCCCGACTCAGCACTCTTGTAGGTGCCAATTTTAGCCTCTGCCACTATTTTGGGCTCCACTGCCTCACCACTGGCTGAGCTAGCTGGGCTCCTCAACCCCACACTGCTCCTCTGCCTTCCCCTCCTGCCTAGCAACTCCTTCACCTCCTTCACCTTTTCTCCTTTTTAGGATCCTTATATAGCAAAGACCAGAAAAAAGGAGCGAAAATAACCATGCCCAGTTCAAGGCTGGATGGAAATTAGAAAGCAGAAAGGACTTTCCCAGGGCCATGGGAGAGGCTGATTCCTCCAGGCTTGCACCTGCAGGGCAGACCTATAAGAAGGTGCTAGGAACTCCTCCAAACCAGCAGTCCTGAGGCTCTTGGACCCCGAACCACAGACTTACCTTCCCACAGTAGGCAGCCAGGGCTGAGGAATGTACTAAATTTAAAAACAGACAGCCAGAAGACAAAATCCTGGCCTCATGGCTCCGCCCACTGGGGGGCCCAGAGACAAGGGGTGGGCTGAGACCTCGGCTTTTCTCCCAGGCCTGGGGTGGGAGGGTGCTGCAAGCTAAGGATGGAATCTTAAAGGGCCAAACTCCAGTCTGGATACCCAATAAACCCGGGACCAGAACCCCAGAGTTATCTGAGGGATCTCAGTCCTCAAACTCAACTTAGAAGGCCCCTATGAAACAAGAGAGCTTAACCTTCCAACCCACTTCTCCTACCCCAATCTTCAGTCTGTTTTCCATCCCATGCGCTCTTTGTAAGGGTACGAAGAGCTTCTCACCCTACACCCTCTTCTTCCTCTTAGGAGATGAGAAGTAAAGGGGAGTGGGTAAAGGATACGGGTCTACCTTTAAAAACATCTGTGCTTTTAGTGAGCAAGGCCTATAGCGTCACTTAATTTCTATTTTCTGTATCCTCTGGAACAGTGAACCCTTTTCCTTTCTCCTTGGCATCCCCTCCCCCGTCTTCCAAACCACTTTCATCCCCACTCCTATCTAGTGATGCCTCCCAAATTTTCAGAAATTATTTTTTCAGATACACAAAAACAAAAACTAAACTTAATTTCTACCAGAATCTAAAAGTAGCCACCACCTTATTTAGCTCATTTTAATTTGACAAATATGTCCCCCAAATTTCAGGGGTAGGGAAACCATCCCAGGAAAGAACCTGGCTGTCAGGGTTTGGGCCAGTAGGTGAGCAGAGAAAGCCGCAAGGATACCTGGGCCTAAGTCCCATGTGCCTAGGAGGTTTGTTTTCCTTCTTTTTACTTTGGACCTTGTGCAATCTGGGTGGGGATGATTGAGGCATTACTGACTGCAGTGTCCATCCATCAGAAGGTGGAAGAAGCAAAGAGAGGGGATGAACTACTGCTTGGTGGGCTTACTGACAGAGGCAGAGGCAACATTATATAGTCAATGCTCTAGGTATGTAACACAGCTCCACCTCTTACTGAGATCTTGGGCAAGTAACTTAGACTCTAAGTTATCTTGTCTACAAAACGGATATTAAAATACTTATCTTTGCCAGAATGTTATAAGAATTAAATGAGATGACCTCTGGAAAAATGTTCTGCTAGTCAAATAGGAAGGAATAAGCCACTTCCTTCTCTCACTGCTTGACTGCGCTTCTCTCCAGCCCCACCCCTGATGTTTACCTGCTTATGGCCCCTATCCTGAACTGGGAGGAGGGGGAAGAAGAGATTTAGCGACACAAGCACACACATTCATGAGGGTGGAAGCAAGATGGACCAGGAGATGATGGAGAAGGAAACAGCAAGACAGGACCAGTCCCCTGGTGAATAAAGACGAATGGGACAATGTCCTGACTATGCTGGCCTTTCCCTGCTGCCTGTTTGGACTCCAGTTTCTGTTCAGTTTCTCCCTCACCCTGTCACACCAAACTCTTAGGCCAAGCATGGGCAAATGCAAACCAGCTGGGATCTGGATGGCCCCTGGGCAGCACTGACTTCCCCTACCATTCCCACTGCAGGAAAAGAGGGTGATTCTGCCATCAGACTCCCCTACCCTGAACTGACAGCCTGCAGGGAGAGGGACTCAAACTCAAGGTCTCGGTGTTGGATTTGTACTCTAGAGAGCTCTGCTCCGCCATGGGAGAGAAGAAGCCTCACTGTGCACCCTCCCCACCCTGCCCTGCTCTCACTGCCTGGTCTCAGGCCTCAACTCCCCACCCATGGCCGGTGGTGAGAAGGTGCTAAGAACCTAGTTTCATTTCTGCCCTCCCTGCCCACCCAGAGGAAGGAGAATCCTAGCTAAAAGTCTGGCAGAGAAGAGCACCCTGGCACTGTGGGCGGGGCCAGGAGGAGCCCAGGCAACCTTACTGGTGAGAATCCATTGGTGCTTCCAGGTGAATATGACGATGTCTCCTCTGGGGTTTCTCTCAATGCTCAGAAGCCGCCCCGGGTGGGAAAGTACATGCGTACTCCGGGAGGCCATGAGAGGAAAAGGGGGGTGGCTCATTCTGCCAGTAAATGAAGAAAGTGGAAATGAATTCAAGCAGCAGGCAGAGCTCCCAGTTTCACCAGCGCCCGGGGGTTGGTAATAAGGAAGAGAGCATTGTGCCTCATCTTCCTGGGGTCAGGACTGCACACGGCCCCACGTGTACGGTGTGAATGCGCTTCCATAATCATACACTTCCCTGGCTCCCACTCTGTCTACGGTCTAATTTCAACTCCTTCAGCTGCTGTATCCACCCATAAAATTATGAGTGTAAAAGCACTTTGCAAACCTTAATACTCTCTGAAGAAGTAAAAAGTATTGCTGTAATTATTATCATTATTATATCCGATGGTTAAGATTTCTGCTGCCCACCTCTTAGCTCTGTGGGGCCTAAAGAAAGGGAGGGCTAGCCATTCCTCAGCTTTTGAGGTTCCTGGCCCTTCTCCTCCAGCTATCTACATCTGGCTGCTAAGTTGGAGGCATGGGGAAAGCAGAGGAAAGGTGATTTACTGGGATATAGGGAGGGAGACAGGGAAACATAACGTATTCCCTTAAAACCTGAACCACTGCCCTGAGTCCCTGTCTGCTGGGAGGGGAGCAGATGGTGGGGTGGAGAGGAAAGGAACTGGGGAGGGCAGTGGGTCCTGGGCCTCCTTTTCCCCAGCTGACTCCTACCTTGGCCTTTCCGGTCATGCCCAGGATGAAGCTGAGGGTCCGTCGCAGGGAGGAGCCTGCCCAGGTACCTGAGCCCCCTTCCAGTTGGCTACAGCTGGAGAGAGAAAAAGGAGAGGTGAAGAGATAGAGCTGGAGCTGGAAAGGAACAACAAGATGCTCCCAGAGAAATGATGGATAAAGGTGCCATGATCAGGAGAGAGAGTGGAGATACAGCATAAAGACAGAGAGAAGAGTAAGAAGAGAGAGGAAGGATCGGAGAGACAGATGCTCCCACCCCACTACCTCCTGGGATTTCCTGGATGTGGTCACTACAGTTTCCCAGGCCGCTCTATTTATCAGGAAAACTCCAGGCTCCTCCCAGATAAATACAGACTCCCCCTTCCTACCTAATCCAGGCCCAATCTTCTCTTTCATTCTGCTCCCCAACGGAAGTGACACGGGGTGGTAGGGGCTCTCCAGGGGGACAGTTTCCCCTCACAAAACAAGAGCCCTGTGTACGACCCTCTCTGCTGTTTGGAAAGGGCCTCTGGGCCTAAAGCCAATAAGGACTGAATTTCCTGGGATTTCATCAGCCCCATCCCATGAGCTAATCCCAAACCCAGAGCCAGGAGGATGTGTCAGCTAGAGATTTTCAGGACCACAAATCAGAGCTTGATATCTTAAAGGGCCCATTACTAGCTCATACACCCACACTGCCTTAGAGGGCTGACCTACTGTAATCAGGCTTCAGCCGTGGGAGCCAAATAAACAGGTGCTGATTTTACATGCTTATTTATATAGTTATTGAAATCTCCCAGCCTCCACCTCGATTCCCGAACTATATGCCTTCAGCCCCTGCCCTCTCCCCTTGGGGCTCTACAGTCCCTGTCCAGCTCTCCTTAAGTGCCACTCCTTCTTGGCCGATTGTCTCAGCCATCCAGAGCTGATCCATGGTCCTTGGTCACTGTCTCTCCCAAAGATTGTCCAGCAGCCAATCTGCTTGCTCACCTCTCTGACATTGACAATAGCAGGCAACCTCGACTGACCCTCTTTTATTCAACAGACGCCCTGGGATCTAGATCCTCCTTTTCTTTCCAGAATTTCTTCCCCATCCCATGGAGCTACTGGGAACCTTCTTAGCCTTCCCTGGCCAATGAGAAAAAGGGGAATTCTATGAACTCAGGGAGAAGGCTATTTGGAGATCTTTGATAAGAAATGTTACAGGGGTAGGGGGTGAGTTTTCAGTAAGCAGAGACCCTTGGGGCTATAAAATCCATAGCCCAGGCCCATCGCCCCTCCCCCATCGAGAGCTTTGAAGGGCTCTGGGTCCCCCAAACTCACCTTTGGCTGAGGTCAGCGGCAGAGGACTGGGACAAATTCCCTGCCAACAAAAAAGGAGATGTGAAGTGTCCAGCTAAAGCCAGACAAAGGAGCCCAGAGCTGCCTCCCCCACCCCCTCCACCTGGATCAGGTTCCCAAGCTGCAGGTGCTTGTGACGCCATTCCTGAGGGCGGGCACTGGGGAGCAGGGAAGGAGGGCGGCGTCTGAGCAGAGCTGAAGAACTTAGGAGACAGGGTGACAGAGTACCAGGCTCATGTGGAGAAGGGGGCTAGGGGCTGATGTCTAAGTTCTGTTTCTGGTGAATGGGGAGGGCAGAGATTTCACTCTGAGCTCCCAGTGCCTCATCTGATGACAAGGTACATTGCAGGTAACTGGCTCCCATCTCTGGTGACAAGGGAAGCTAGAAAGCCTTTCTCTATCCTGTGTCGTCCTTCATTGGAAGGAGAACTTCAGAATACCAAAGTCGTGAATTCAGATCTCTCATTTGAATAAAGCATTTTGGGGTTCCCAAGAGTATGTGGTTAAACATAATGCAGGCCATCTGGACCCTAAACAGCTGGGTCTGAGGAGGAGGGTGAGTCAGAGGAAGGGGCCACCATTGCTTTGCTCCCTACATAAACTCACCAGCTGGATCTGAGCAGCCCAAGAAGCAATTGATGCCACTCATGGATACAGACTTGGAAAGCATGCCAGTGGCTGAGTGGTCCAAAGGGCCAGCAGATGGATGACAGGAACCCGGACCCTAGAATCATGTTAAGAACCCTCATGCAAAGGTCAGGCTTCATCCATCTTCCCCCCAGGCTCTTCACTTTCCCACAGCATGGCTCTTCTTCTTCAAGGCCCTCAGGCCTTCCACCCCTCCCCACTACCCAAATCTGGAACATTCCTCTTGAAATAGTTGGGAAGTTATGCTTGCTATTTAGCAGTCATCACTCTGTTACAATTCAAATGCAGGATGCCTTAATATAGAAAACATCTTAGGAAAGATTTACCCTGAGTGGTCTCCAGAGATGACAAACAACCTATAGAGAGGCCAGGCAGGTAATGAAAAAAACAAAACAAAAACTCAGGCAGTCTGGGTTTAAGACAATAAAGAGTTAAACTATTCATAAACTGTTCGCCTAATCTTTAGAAAACCACTTTTTTTCTCAAGCCTACATGGAGTATTACAAAAACTGGCTCCATATCAGTGCATAAAGCAAAATTCAACACATTTCAGATAATCTCTATCATGCAGATCACAGGAAACAATCCAGAAGTCCCTTTTCAGTAGACTGGATAAAGAATCTATAATATATTTATATATATAAACATTATTCAGCAATAAAAATGAGCAGACTACAGTTCACCTAACAATATGGATAAATCTCATGATAATGCTGAGTGAAAGAATGAGGACACAAAAGATTTATACACTCTACTATTACATTCATATAAAGTTTAAAACAGGCAAAACTAATTGATATTGTTTCAAGATGCTTACAAAGGTGGTAAATCTATAAATAAAATCAATCTCTCAATCTCAAAAGTCAAGAAGGTAGTCCTTTCTGCCAGGAGAGAGAGGGTTATGAATGGGGAGGGACACAGGAAGCTTCTGGGTTTTGATGGTACCCTTTTTTTTAACCTGGGGTGGTTACATGGGCGTTTGCTCCCTAATTATTCATTACACTGTGCATATAGGTTTTATATACTTTTCTGTATATATGTTATATTACAAAAAATTTTTTAAGGTTTTAAAAAATCTCTATAGATTTAGACATTTTAATACACTCTTCTAAATAAACTTACTGATCAAAGAAGAAATCATATGGAAATTTAAAGATATTTCATAATAACAATAATGAAAACACTACAGAATAAAACTCATGGAAGATGGCCAAAATGGTATTTCAAGGATAATCTGTAGCCTTAAAATGCTTATATTGAAAAATTTTTAAATTAAAATGAATGAGCTATGCCAACTTAAAAGGTTAAAAAAAGAACAAAACAAGGCCAAAGAAAATAGAAGGAAGGATATAACAAAGATAAAAGCAGAAATCAGTGACATAGTAACAGATAAAATAGGGCCAATAAAGCCAAGAGCCGAATTTTAGGAACAGGCAAATAAAACCTCTGATAAGAGTGATGCAGAGAGAAGGCACAAATAAAAGCAGAATGAAAAAGTGGACCTAACTACAGAAAGAGCAGTGATTAGAAACACAATGCTATCTACAACTTAATGCCAGTAATTTTGAAAATGCAAACAAGATAGATAAATTCTTAAAAAAAAAAAGATATATATATATATATATATATATGTAAAACTTACCAAAACTGAATCTAGAAGGAATAGAAATTCTGAATGGTCCTATTAAAGAAATGGAATCAGTAGTTAATCTTTCTATAAACAAAACAAAACACACCAGGCCAAAACAGTTTTATAGTCAAGGAATAGATCTTTCAAGAAATAGATCACTGAAATCTTATACAAACTCTTCCAAAGTATAGAAAACAAAAACTTTCCAATTCTTCGGGAGGGAAATAGCTCAGTGGTAGAGTGCATGCTTAGTATGCACGAGGTCCTGAGTTCTATCCCCAGTACCTCCATTAAAAAAAAAAAAAAAAACAGCTTTCCAACTCATTCTATAAGGCAAGCAATAACCTTGATTCTTAAACTACACACAGACAATATGACAAAGGAAAATTATGGGCCAATCTCTCTTATAAAAAGTACAAAAATTCCAAACAAAATATTAGCAAACTATAATAGATTTTAAATAGCCACAAATTATTGCCAGCTTCTTCCATCAAGGAGTCTATTTCTTCACCCTTTGAATCTAGGCTGGCCTGTGACTTACTATGATGAGTAGAATGTGGCAGAAGTGGTATTATGTGATTTTTGAGCCTAAACCTCAAGAAATCCTAAAGCTTCCACTCTTGCCCACTTGGAATGCTATCTTCATGTGAACAAGCCCAGGGCTAAGCCTTCTGGAGAAGCCATGTGGATGAGAACCAAGGTATCATAACTGGCAGCCTGTCAACCTACAGGCATGAATATGGTCATCCTTGATCATCAGCCCTATTCAAACCACCAGACAACTACAGCCATATAAGTGAGTACAGGTGGAACCAGCAGAAGAATACCCAGCTGAGCTCAGTCCAAAGTAACCATCAATGGAATTGTGAGGGAAAAAAAAGGTTGTTGTTTTAAGCCACTAGGTTTGGGGTTGATTTGTTAGGCAGCAATACATGATTAATATCACAAGTGAAATCTAGCAGTGTATAAAGAAGATAATCCATGAAGACAAAGTTAGATTTATCCTAAAAATATAAAGGTGGTTTAAGATGAGGAAAATCTTTAAATGTAACTTACCTCAATGACACATGAAAGGAGAAAAAAACATGACCAACTCAGTAAAAGCAAAAAAAAATAGGATAAAATTTAACACAAACTCGTTGTAAAACCAAAACCTCGGCATAGAATAGAAGGAATCTTCCTTAACCTGACAGAGTATTTTTTTAAAAATTTACAGCCCAAAATCATTTTCAATAGTGAAACATAAGATCATAAACAAGACAAGGATACCCATTATCACCATTTCTGTTCAGCAAGACAGTAGAACCCTAGCCAGCAGGGTGGGGCAAGAAAAAGAAATGAAAGAATAAATAAATATTGGAAAAGATGAAACAAAGCTCATTTAAAGATGACATAACTGTCTACTTAGAAAAGCCAAAAAAAAAAAAAAAACTCCAGAGATAAATTGTTATAAACAAAAAAAGAAGAGTTTAGCAAGATAAATGACCACAGTTAATTCAGTTCCATTTATATAAACCAAAAATAATTATAAAATGTAATTTAAATATAAGAAAGCATTTATAATAGCAACAAAAAATACAAGGCATCTAGAAGTAAATCTAATAAAGATTGACAAGACCTGTATGAAGAAAACTAATACTTTGTTAAAAGGCATATTTTTAAAGGAAGCCTACTAAATAGAGATACTATATTTCAAGGATGAGAACATTCAGTATTAGAAAGAAGTCAACTTTTCCTAAATTAATCTTTGAATTCAGTGCTATATGAATCAAAATCCAGCAGGAATTTTTGGTGATTCTAAAGTTGATAAGCTGATTCTAAAATTCACATAGATATGCACAGGATCTAGAATAGCTAAGATAATCCCAAAGAAAAATAATAAAATTGGAGGGCTTATACTACTACATTTTTAAGACTTACAATAAAGCTACATTAATTAAGACAATGATATTGGCATAAGGATAGACAAATAGATCAATGGAACAGAGAATAGTGCCCAGAAATAGACACACAAATACAGTCACTTGATTCAAAAAGGCAACACAGTAATTCAATGGGGAAAGTAAGCTTTTTTAATGAAGCAGTTGGATATTTATATGAGAAAAAAACAAAACTCTGATTTCTCCCATACACAAGAACCTAAATAAATCATAGAGCTAAACATGAAAGCCAGAACTATAAAACTTCTAGAAGGAAAAACACTGGAGAAAAGTCTTCACATTCTTGAGGTAGGCAAGATTTCTTAAACATGACCAAAAGCACTAGCCATTTAAAAAATTGATAAATTGGACTTTATCTAAATTCAAACTCATGCTTTTAAAAATATGCTAGTAAAAATACAAGTCAAAGACTGAGAGAAAATATTCACAATACATATATCTGACAAAGGATGAAAATTCAGAACAAATCAATAAGAAAAAGACAGGCTATTTTAAAAATTGAGGAAATAACCTGAACAGACATTTCACAAAAGAAGATATTCAGATGGTCAATAAGAATATGAAAAAGTAACCAACAAATTTTCTCAACAGGGACATGCAAATTAAACCAGAATGAGATACTTCTAAAATACCCACCAGAAAGGCTAAAATTAAAATCTTGACAAAAGAAATATAACACACCTAAGAACAAATCTAATGTACATCCACAAGCTCTGTATGGAAAAAATGATAAAACTTTATCGAAAGACATTAAATAGAAAGGTATACTATTTTCATGGATAGGAAGAAGCAATACTGTAAAGATGTTCACTTTCCCTAAATTAATCTTTAGACTCAGTGCAACTCCAATCAAAATCTCTAAGGTTTTTTAGTGCATGTTTTGTATGTATGTTATACTTCAATAAATATGTTCTTTTTTTACCTAATTAAGAAATTCTGTTCCTTTAAAGACACCGTAGGAGAAGGAAAAGACAAACCACTTTTCTCCATCTTTGAGAAAAGATCATTGCCACACATATAACAACAAAAGATTAGTATTCAAAATATATAAAGAACACACTCAAAACAATAAAGAAAAAACCCTCAAAGAATCCAATAGAGAAGTAGGGAGAAGACACGAAGAGGAGTTTCACAGAAGAAGAAACACAAATGACCAACACACATACAGAAAAAATGCTCAAGTGCATTTGTAATAAGGAAAATTCAAAATACCATAATGAGATTTATAACCACTAGACTGGCAAAGAAATCTGACTCCAAATGCTGGAAAGGATGTAGATCAATGGGAACTCTTATATACTGCTGATGGGAATGGAAACAGTTTGCCATTATCTTATAAGAATAAACATCTGTGCACTCTATGACCCAACAATTTTATTCCAAGCTATATACCCTGGAGAAATTCTTGCAAATGAGCACCAGATGATGGATAAAAGGACGTTCATAATGATGCTCTTCATAATAGCAAAGAATGGAAATTATCCAAATGTCCATCAACAGAGGAAT